CATAAATAAACAAATAAACAATAAAGAGAGACAGAGAGAAAGAAAGAAAGAAATAACAATCACAGTCATAGGTTGAACTTTTAGAAAGAGAGAAAAGAACAGTGGTTACTAGAGGTGGAAAAGGGGAGAGGAGGGAAAGAGGGAAGGGGGCTAGTGAGGAATCGGTTAATGACACAGAGAATGATTGCATATTATAATGATGAATAAGCTAACTATCCTGATCTAACCACCACATATTGTACACAACTACTGAAAATCAACATCGTACACAACATGTATGTACAATTGTAGTGGATTGAATTATGTCCCCCCCAAACTCCCTGAAGCTTGAACTGTGTCCCCCAAGTTTTAGATATTAGAAACTTGGTCCCCACTGTGACTGTTAAGAGGGTGGGAAATCCTATTGTGGTAATTGAAAGGCAGAGCCGTGAAGAGGTGGTTAGATTGTAGGACCCTGCCATAGTGAATGGATTAAAAATGGTGGTCAGGGGCATGGTTCTGAGGGTTTAAAAAGAAGAGGAGAGTCTGTCTCTCTCTCTCTCTTGCTCTATCTGCCCTGCCATTTTCATAATGTGATACCCCCGTGTCACTGTCACCACCACCAAGACCCCCACCAGATGTGTTCCCTGGACTTTGGACTTCCCAGCCTCTAAAACTGTAAGCAATAAATTTTGTTTTCTTTATAAATCACCCAGTTCTGTGTATTTTGTTATAAGCAACAGAAACGGACTAATACAATAATAAATTATCTTAAAAACAAAACAAAACACATCAACACATACAGACACAAAACCATCAAATAAAAATGGTGGAGGAATGGTGTGACCCAGTGCAAGTCAATTGGCTCACTTGGCATTGTTTCCTTTCAAGGATGGGGGCTTCCTATGCCAAAGCCACACCTGTGTTACCATGGAAACAGACCACTTTTCTATCTCCAATCCAGAGACAATTATCAGTTATAAAGAAAGGATGGAACAGGGCTATGAATTGGTTCCTTAAGAATCCAGGTTTCTTCTTACATAAGGACTCCAGAAATTGTATCTTGGGTATTTCCATTTTGCAGATAAGAAAACCATAGCTAAGATATATTTGAAGAGCTTTTCTTTGATATAAGAGTGAATAACTAGTGAGGTTTGATTTTAGTCACATTTATTTAACAAAATTACCCAAGTGCAATATAAAGGGTGTTTATTTTAACTGACAAGACAATGGTGACATGGCAGAAAATCAATGCATTTGTTTTAAAAAAACAAAATAAAACAAGATTTCTCTTTCTAAATAAAATGCTCAAAATCGCCTAAACTTAAGTATTATACAGAACTCAGAAGAATTCCTTTAGACCCTGTGCTACACAGGAAATAATTTTTATGATGAGTAAAAATAAAATAAAATAATTGTCTAAGCCAACACTTCATATACCACGGGCAAGTCTTCTTATATAATGATCAGTCTGAGACCCAGAACCATGTAGGGTGTTAATTGAGACCTTCTCCCTCTGCAGCATTTCTCCATTTAAGCCATGCTTGGGTCTAAACCAGTGTTTCCCAAAGTGTGGTCCTAGGACGGGCAGCATTGGCACCACTTTGGAACTTGTTAGACATGCAAATTATTTTGCCCCAATTGGGTCAGAAACTCTGAGGGTGGGACCTAAGAATCTGGGCTGGCCCTGTGGCGCACTCGGGAGAGTGCGGCGCTTGGGTGCAGCGGTGCTCCCACCGCGGGTTCGGATCCTATATGGGGATGGCCGGTGCGCTCACTGGCTGAGCGCGGTGCGGGCAACACTGCACCAAGGGTTGCGATCCCCTTACCGGTCACAAAAAAGAAAAAAAAAAAAAAAAGAATCTGACACACCCTAGGATTGCAGAACTACTGTTGTAAACATCGCAATGGCAAAGTCTCAGGTTTAACAAGGCCCAGGGTATACCTCTGAGGCCCTGAGATGGGAATGTTCCAGTGGATATGCTCATGTGGGATTGGTTTGTGAAAACGGGATCTTGCTCTGTGTTGATGAGATCGGTGGAGTGTTTGCATGAACACACTTCCATGGATATGCAAACCATTAATGTCAAGACAGTTTATTGCCAATGACATGACATTGGAAGCCTCAAGCTTTGGATTCTGCTTTTCCTAATCCTCCTTTTCCGGGACCATAGGCAGAATTATTCATGCACAAGAGGAAAACTGGTTTGCTTAAACCAGGGTTTCTCAACCTTGGCACTACTGACACGTTGGGCCACATAATTTTGTTGTTGGGAGCTGTCCTGCACTGTTGGATGTTTGCCAGCATCCCTGGCCTCTACCCACTAGATTTCATAGCAACTCCCCTTCTCGCTGCACTCCTACCCCACGTTGTGACAATCAAAAATGTTTCCAGATATTGCCAAATGTCTCCTAAGCATGAAATTGCACTTGGTTGAGAACCACTGACTTAAACCAAAGCTGTTCCTTCAACGTGGCAGTGAAGGGACAGTCAAGCTGACAGACTGGAGCACGCTTCCAGCGGGCTGGGGGGAGACTCATGTTGTAGGACCGGCCATGCCTCTGTCTCCACTGCACCAGCACTACCTGGGCAATGACCAGGGCACAGAGAAAGATCAAGATCATCTCCACATGCATGGATTCATGGCCCCAGTGCATCTTGTACATCCTCTCCTGCTGCAGGCTGGAACTGGCAAATGAAGTCATCTGAAAAAGCCCTCAAGTCTCCCACATTTAGCAAAAAAAAAAAAAGAAAAAGAAAAATAACAGGCTGGGCTCACAGGAAGCAATTTGTTATTTCAAATGTAAGGATTGGTAAGATTTGGTTACAAAATTTTTCTTCGTTCCTTCCCTTTGCCCAGGTTTGGGGAAGGGACAGCTGATTCTATTAGCAAAACTAATTCATCTTAACACTTTGCTTTCCCTGGTTTTGGCCTCAGCCTTGTCTTTTCAAGTAAAGTGAAGGGGTCGAAAATCACTGATGTGTCCTGGGAAGACCTGGGTTCCAGTTCCTGATCTGCTATTTCATCACCTCATGACCTTGGGAGAGTCATCTACTCTTTCTGAGCCTCAGTTTCCTCACTTGCAAACTTAAGATAAGGATCCCTCTGTACTTCCCAGTACATATGACATATGTCTGCAAAGGCACATGTTATTTCATTTGTACCCATATGAGGAATCATTATTATTAGACTGAATCATATGAAACTGCCATTTTTGAAAGTCAAAAACAGTACAGTGTTGGTAATTTAAAGTAATTTCGATGATTTTAGAGAAAAAGGATATCCTGGAGATGATGCCTATCCCAAAGGAGAGTATATTATCCATGGGCAACAGGGGGCTCCTGAGTGAGTTGTATAAATTGTTATACAACTATCATAAGGAGAAGGAATAGGCCTGAGTCTTATCTTAGACATGCTCCAGCATTCAAATTATGGCTGAATGTTTTGGTTTTTAGTTAGATACTTAGTTTTACACAATGGTAGAGAAAACCACTAAAACAGCACGCCATCTGGTTTAACATCCTAGAACAGAAGTGGCCTTGAAGAAAACCTAGAGCTGTGGTTCTTGACCTTGGCTGTAAGCCAGAAATCACAGGGGAGCTTTTAAAAATCCTAGCGCCCAGATGTGCCCCAGATCAAGTAAATGACCATTGCTAGGTGTTATGGGCTGAATTTTGTTCTCCCCAAAACTCGTATGTTGAAGTCCTAACCCCCAGTACTTCAACCTGTCAACCCAAACCTGCCATCACCATGATCTTGGGCTTTTAGCTTCCAGAACTATGAGAAAATAAATTTCTGTTTTTTAAACCACCCAGTCTCCGGTACTGTTATGGCATTCCCAGCAATCTAATAAAGATTTCCAGGATAGAACGTAGGCATCAGTAATTTTTAAAGCTTCCCGTGTGATTTTAAGAGGCAGCCAAGGTTGAGAACCACTGGCCTAGAGGAAGAGAGAGAGGCCCAAGGTCAAGATTTGCAAAAGGGGGGAATATTGCAAATGCTGCCAATCAATTACTTTCTAAATATTGGTTAGCATTATGTTTCATTCCTAGTGGGGCGCCATCAGTCACAAAATCTCTTGTTTCCACTTATGACTGGTTACAGTATGCAGTTAGCTAGTATATAGTCAGAATGCACTACCGGGTAATATTAGTTTGTGCCACAAGATACTGACTTTTAAAAAGGCACCTGTTGGGTGTGCGGATTGGGTTCTCTCCCTCTACCAGCATTTCCACAGCTACTCTTAAAGCAGAGAAGTACCCAGTGCCTCAGAAAAGGGCCCCATACTAATCGCAGGGGTGCCCCCTGCTGGAGAAGGTGTAGAAATGAGACCACAGAGCCCAGTAAATATTCCTTCTTGAGTTCAGCATCTTTGATGTAGACTCTTTGAATGTTAGTGCTGGAAGGTACATAGATGTACCGAAACTCCTTCATTTATCAAATGAAGAAGGTGAAGTCCAGATCAGGTAAGCAACTTTAAGTAAACTAAGTGGCTGTTAGTCTGTGTGTTGAAAGCTGAACTGAGGAGACAAGAATGATTTCTAGAAGCTCATAAAAAAAAAAAAATTACACTTGTTCTCCCAAAGAAATGGGAAGAAAAATAAAAAGGATATAGGAGTTTAGTTGTGGTTTTTACAGCCGCTGAACTGAGGAGACAAGAATGATTTCTAGAAGCTCATAAAAAAAAAAAAATTACACTTGTCCTCCCAAAGAAATGGGAAGAAAAATAAAAAGGATATAGGAGTTTAGTTGTGGTTTTTACAGCTCCAAATCCAAAATAACTATTTAATATTTTATGTAATTAATGTACTTTCAACTTAGGCCATGTAGATAGAAGAGTGAATTCATCAGTCTACAAAATAGGACTTGCATAGCTATAAAACAGAATGTCTTGTATGATATTAATATATTTTGTATATATATATAATGAAAACACATCTCGAATGGGTTAACTTATGTGGAAATACGACGAAAGATTAAATTGGTATACAAATGTAATAAGTATTTCCTATTTTGAGTAGAAATACATTCATAATTGATTCCTATAATGCAAAAAAGGTGGAAGTTTTCATTTTTATTTCATTTTGTGTGGTGCTTACAGGGCCCAACGGTCCCACAGCAGGTACCAGAATACAGGGAAAACAGCATATAAAGAAAACCAGATGTATTATGTACCTAAAATAAATAGTAACTTGACACTGACATATTTTGAAGCATATATTAACCCTGCTTTGTGGGACTGCATGGATTGTGCTGTGGAAAACAGATGAAATCTATGCAGTGTTGGTGTATAGTGTCCTTGTCACATATGGCTACGCTACCCCATCTTCTCTACCCTGGGAAATTTACAAATAAAATGATGACTTCATTCAACTTCCTAATCTGTTAAGATGGATATCTAATTTTCAGTAAAACAGCTATAAAATATACTAATCACTTACTTCCATGCATCGACAAATAAAATGATGACTTCATTCAACTTCCTAATCTGTTAAGATGGATATCTAATTTTCAGCAAAACAGCTATAAAATATACTAATCACTTACTTCCATGCATCGTCCTCAGAAAGTTTTGTGTGAGAGATCTGAAAAACATAAAAAAAGGCCCTTATCAAAATTTTCTTGTTTTCTTGGCTCATATGTTAAAGAATTACATGGGAATCCCAAACCATGTAAAATAGCAGTGTTCTCTAGGACTGGAATAATTTAGGATGAGAGTCCTAATAAAATAGTTTGCTTACACAACTAACACAAAACAAACAAATGAACAAGAAAAAACCCCAGTAATCGGGTCACTATTAATAAATATTTGATTCCACTCTTAGGTCAGAGAACCAGATGTGGCTCCATTTTTGTGGTTTAGTTTGGGCAAATCAGTCAGTGCCACCACGGCTTCTGGGAGGTGATGTGTGAATCTGAGAACCCCTAAAAAACCACCTGTTTTTGTGGTATTTTAAATGATGCCAGTGTGTAAATATCATCTTCAAGTTGAAGGTTTTAGAGAGCTGCCCAGACTATTGGTAGACCAGACTTTTTGTTTGGAGCATTTTTGTGCCCTCCTGTTAGGGAGACACCACTACTGATCCCAGGGCAGGGAGCAATCCGGCCTCAGGCCCTTGCAGATTAAGCTGGGGAACAGAGAGACCATCTCCAGGACAGTGCTTTTTGGACAACCTGAAGAGTCTACCCATTGTGTGCCTTCCCTTCATTACTGCTAATCCACTACATTTGGTCTTTTGAAACCTTTAAAGGCCAATCACTGGAAAGACACAATCTTATAACTTTCATGGAGGGTACAGACAGCTTAATCCCTACTCCAGTAGTGTTAAAAGACACTGTTTGAAAGGTAACACCCCCGATGATGGCAAAGAAGGGAAGGCGAACAAAACATTTGTTACACAAACCTGGTATTAACCAGATTTTCTACCCTGTGTTTTCTTCAAATGGTGTAAGCAGTTCTGACAGATGGAAAGAAATAAATAACACCCATAGTTCAGACTAGCATTTCTCTCCCTCAAAGTAAATAGGCTCCATAATAAAATCTATGCTTCTGTCAGATGCTTGAGGAATTCCCTTACGAGAGAGAACAAGGCTCCAGATAACACAGGTAAGTTTAGTTGTCCCTTGGTTCCAGGATGTTTGGTGATACCAAAATCCACAGATGCTCCAGTCACTGATATAAAACGGTGTAGTATCTGCATATAACCTACTCACATCCTCTCGTACACTTTAAATCATCTCTAGATCACTTAAAGAAAGTACTGAATGCAATGTAAATGCTATGTAAATAATTGTTATACTGTATTGTGTAGGGGATAATGACAAAAAAATAAAAAAGCCTGTATGTGTTTAGTACAGGCACAGCCCCCCCACCCCCAATTATTTGCAATCCGTGGTTAGTTGAATCCACGAATGTGGAACCCATGGGTACCAAGGGCCAACATTATTATAGGCTTAGGCAGTATTTGCACAAGCCCAGGGCTTTCTGGATGATGCTGGGAAAGAGGAAGTGGGTGGTGCAGCAGGTGATACTGGCAGCTTCTCCATGGCTCCCTGTCCCTAAGTGATCACACCTGGCAGGTCCCTAACCCGTCAGCTGGGCTCAAGTGCTCAGTTCAAGGAGAAAAGCCACCCTCAGGTAATAGTGGTTCCTGAGTCGCCTCCTTTGTTGGATAGGTCCCTCTCTGCTGACTTCTGCTTTTGGGGAGAAAACACTGGATGGGTTTGGAGCCCTGAGCCATGCAGCCACTCAGCGCTACCCAGCACTAAACACCGTGCTGCCTGATTCTTTAGGTAATGACCTCAGGCATATCACTGACCTGTGTTTGTCTCCCTTACTTTATTAGAACCTGGAGATTGATGGAAAGCTGCTCTTGTCTACTTCGTTGGAATATTGTAAGCATAAATAAGACTCTACATGAGGGTTTTGTAGGAATGTGCTTAATCCAAGGGCCAATTATCTTAATAAACGTTATAACCTATAGGACTCTCTGGGTCTTTTTCTTTTTCCTTTTAGATCTTCAGGTTCATAGTGCTTGATGTTAAAATCAGCTTAAAATAGGACCTTGGTTTTTTAGTCATGCTGAGAGAAAAGTTCCATTTGCCTTTAACTAGTAATATAGTCCTGGACATAACTGTCCCCAACTATCCACCAGATTCTAAGTC